GGATGTGAAATAGAATATCCCTGTATACTAGGGTGCGAGTTCATATACATGAGCGAGGGTTACGCTGTTTAATAATTTCTCTCACTAATAACGATGCATTTCACTGAGCACAAGTGCCGTTATTCCAGTCCTCTCAACCCAAGTCTGTCAATGTCCCATATGGTTCAATTTCACATAAGGAACAAGCTATCAGGAGTGCACTGCCGGATGCCTCGGGGATCTCTTCAAGACCTACCTCGTCAGCTTCAGGTGAGAACGCTGTACAGTACTGGAGAGGAATGAAGTTGATGTTTCTAGTGAGACGACAAGTATATTTTGCCGCTGGAATTACCTGATGCGCACTATCCCTGATTTTGGACCCCTCCTCCACCCTCTGGAAGAAGCCATCACGGTCGATTTTATCCCAACACTAGTGAAAAACCCTCACTTAACCCCAGCAGAAAGGTCACTCCTTGCACTACCACCGAAACTAGGAGGAATGGGATTGACTAATCCAGTGGAGCTTGCCCGTACAGATCATCAGAACTCTGCCACGCTCACGGCAGCCCTCACTGAGCACATAATAGCTCAGAATGCAGCAAGTGAGGTGGATACCAAGGAATTAAACAAGATTCGACGGTCCATTACGACAGAACGACAGCACGGCCAAAGTAATAAGTTGCAGCAACTGATGTTGCAAGTGCCAGAGAACTTGGAGGAAAAAAGTAGCTACAGTGCACGAGGTAGGCGCCTCGAACGTTACAGATAAGGGAAAAAAGCTTCATCCTTAATAAACAAGAATTCACAGATGCCATTGCTCTAAGGTACGGTAGGCCAGTAGAAGGTTTGCCCTCCCAATGAGTGTGCGGCTCATCTTATGACATCGACCACTCCCTGATGTGTAAGAATGGGGGCTTCGTATGTATCAGGCATGACGAAGTAAAGGATCTAACAGCAAATCTAATGAGGGAAATCTGCCACGACGTCATGGTGGAACCGCCCCTCCTTCCATTGGACGGTGAGAACCTCCGTCACAGAACTTCAAACACATCTAACGAAGCCCGTGTGGACGTCAGTGCTCAAGGACTCTGGACGCGGGGACAGCAAGCCTTCTTTGATAAAGGATTTTTGATCCCATGGCCGCATGTCACCATAACAGGAGGAACGAGAATAACAAGATCAGGGTATATGGGGAGAGAATTCTTCATGTTGATCAAGACAGCTTCACTCCTCTGGTGTTCACAACCTCTGGCGGGATGGGACCAAGCGCAAGATGTTTCTTTGCCAGACTCGCGGAGGTGTTATCTGAACGGAAGCAGCAGCCCAGAAGTTACGTTACAAATTGGTTGAGATGTCGGCTGTCCTTCTCTCTGCTTAGGTCTGCATTGTTCCGCCTTAGGGGAACGAGATCATCGGCCCCAAAGCCGACAATAGTCGCAGATATTGACTATGAGGCAATAGTCACTGAATGCCGCATAGCTCAGCGGCTCAACTAACTTAACACAGCCAGGGTAGCTACTTATGTATTAGGATATTTAATTTTAAGGTAATAAAATGGCGGCAAAGGTGTGGCTATTGGGGGAGGCTGGAGCCCATCTTGAAAAATAAAACAAGTAGTAGTAGTAGTAGAAGAAAGGTCACTCCTTGCACTACCCCCGAGACTGGGAGAAATGGGAGTGACCAATACAGATGAGATTGCTGCCACCGAAAATCAAAACTCAGTCAAGCTCAGGGCAGCCCTCACCGACCACATAATATCTCAGAACGCAACAGGTGAGGTGGATACCAGGGAAGCAGAGAGTAACATACACAACTACAAAGCAATGTTACTCTCTGCTCTATCATTGTTAGTTTCTATTATAACAAATATTTTAAATTAAGATCATTTGTCGTCACCCAGTATTCAGCCACTATGCTTCACAACTCGTATTTCAAAATGAAATTGTGCATCGTCGTGCCCACCCATGGACTACACATTGAGGACGGATATCTGCGTGCAATTTATAAGATTCTCTCTCCGTCCGTCCATTCGACCGTCCGTCCGTCCGTCCGTCCGTCCGTCCGTCTGTCTGTCCGTCTGCCTGCCTGCCTGCCTGTCTCGTCTTAGATCAATGCACTTATAATACCTGTTATATTATAAAGAGATAGACAGACAGATATACAGAGCAAGAAAGGAATGTTACTCTCGACATTTATGACTTTCCAAGAGTCATTCGTACTGGTATCTCTGACACCTAATAAGATAAAAAAATATTTATGCTACCACCCAGGTTTATAAGGTGACTGAACTTATATGAATAACATACAGGGTCTCTTTACCTTGCAATGTTTGAGACAATACTGCCTCCTTGGACATTCCTGCCATCTGCCCCCCTCAATGACTAGGAAAGGCCTCCACCCCCGACACACTCATTCAAACCTTGATCGAGTAAGTATACGACTGAACTCTCATTTTTGCAGAGGCTTAGTTTGGATATACTGCAGGTGTAATGCGATGAACAAGGTCAATTTAGTAGTGATATTAGGATCTTAGAATATAATGTGTAAAGGTAACGTAATTATGTTGTGTATGAAACAAGTCATAAATCGAGGCAGAGGTTCGTGCTGAAGGCAGTGATACACATCTCCCCCTCCCCCCACCACTATCCCTCACCCTACGTCAGGTTACAGTGTTGCAAGAGCTCTCACCCCCGGGGAGGAGGAGGGGCGTTTCTTTTATGAGTGACTGTACTATGGTGGACAAAAGTCCCCTCACTCTCTTTCCCCCTCTGGTCCCCCACCCCACTTTGGTTCATCTCCCGTCATACACACTACACAGTGCGCCATCTGTTGCACGATTACAGCACTCCCCTCAGTTGCTTCGTTATTCAAACCTCAGGACCTGAGGCTCAGGTGATTCAGTCGCATTGTCGCTGGCTGAGGGAAGGAACTTTTGTCCACCATAGTAAAACTTCAAACTTGTGTCCTAGACAATCAGAATGAACCGCTGGAGCGAGCCCAGTGAGTCCTCTGGTTCAGTTTTGATTTTCAACCCATAGATGGAGCTTCTTACATCACAGCGCCTCCTGCCTAGTATTGTTGCCGCGAGTGTCCCAACAAGTGGAGCTATTCACGCCTGGCAATTTTATACACAAATCACTTATGTGAGATTAAGCTTAAATTATAATATAAAAAATTTATAAGACTAATAATGTAGAAAACAATATTTGGTTACCACGCAAGTTTCCTCATGTTGAATCATTGTTTGGGATTACCTATTGGTTGTAGCTTTTTTTTAACATGTCAGACCTGTCATTAATGGTATGTGGTAATGTATCAACATTTTATCACATTTTTACATCATTAATATAAAGTGAACAAACCTGATGACTCAATTATGAAAGGTTAACCAAACAATGATCAGGTAAATTGTATACCTTATCTTTCACATCTTGAGGTGTTGTGATGTCTCATTATCTAAGTATATTTTGTGGTGTATCAAGTGAATCTGACATTCATTTCCGTCGTAAATGAGCCGTTGTGGAGATAAGAATCCCCCCCCCTCCATATTATCAACAATATTGGTTGCACAAAGTGGACAGGGCTTTGAAGTAGAGGGAAATTGTGGGGTAAAAGCACGAAAACACTGACGAAACGAAACCTAACGAAACTTCTTAATCAGAGAAACCAGAAGGACCTGCCTAACCTCCCCCCCTGGACCTCCATTGTATAAGAAACTTAGGTAAATGTTTACGTAACCGTTATCACTAGAAGTTGTTTGTTGATTTTCATTATGTTTGCTATACTTAATTTAAGTATATTAAAAGAAACGACAACTTTCTAGTATAATTTTAATTACTTTTTAATTTTTTTTTTTTTGCTTGATCCTGCTTCACAATTCTCCTCCCGGCTCCATTTTACCTCGCTGAATCCCTCTTCAAAAGACGTTTCCTAAATGATGGTGAACGCTTCTTCGAATTCCTCCTCGCCATTGCTGGTGTATATCAACCTAAATATTTAGGTAAGTTGTTTAACACATAAATTAACACGATAATACATGCAACCTAATAAAAACTGACCTAACAAACCCGTCCTTTGGATATGTTAGGTCAACTATTAGGTTCTACATATTGTCATTTCCATTTCTGTGTTTAATATCATGATAATAATGTGTGCCAAAAAAATAAACCAAATCGCTTATTTCCTTCTGGTGATAATGGTTTCGAAACTTACCTTAAGATAGAAGATAAAGTGATGCTAATTGTAGGCTTATAGGGGGAAGTGACGACTAGTTGTATTCGGCTTGGAACATGTTCGGAGCAAAAATGTGTTGGGAATGTTCCTTCTTATTGCCGGCATGAATCACCCAACTCTTGATATCCTTCCACAATCGTTCTATATTGTGCGTATGAACTCCTGTAGTACTTCACAGAGGTTGGCAGAATACCATAAGCCTTAAAAATATCAATGGCAGCGGCTTCGTTTTCAAATCACGATGAATTGTTTGCCAAGCTGAGGTACAGTACCACTGTAGAGGGAAACCATCTTGCGACTAGCCAATTCGGAAATCTGAGCATGCGCAGGAGTATCACATGACACCGAAAGCCATGATGAGTCCAATGAGGGTTAAAGACTCATTGGCTGAGTCGCTAGACATCGTCACGTGACACTGAGACTTTCGGTGATTGGCGCGAGTCAGATAGAAACTCGAAAAATATAAATTTGAGACACACATAATAAAATAACGTGTTTTGGGGGCTCTATCTTCTTATATAAACATAAATATGAAGTTCCGTGGTCGACCTTTTCCGAATCTTTTGATGCACACATGGATAACTCTTAAACAACGTTTTCACATGATTTATGGCTATGACAAGCACTGTTACAATGAAGGTCGCCCTTTCAGACAAGAGCACCGCTTTGTTAGGCAGCTACTTCTACAGTGGCACTTTCTAAATCCTTCACCTCGACAAATACTCCGTGCGAGAATAATTCGGTTTTTGTGCCTATCTTGTAAGCACTTTCTTCCTTAAAAAGCACAACTGGTAAGGTGCCATTTTGATGGGTTCATGGTATGATAAGATGTCACTTGGGTTGTATCTACTATGACTATATATTACGGTATTGTTTGTTGTAGCTTGTGCATAAGGGGCTTTTATTGCGCCTTTCAATTGAAAAATAAGAGCCTTTGTATATGTTGCATCGTTTATTTTATGTAATACAGATTCACGTATAAACATGTTACCGACATCCATGTAAAATATATTTAAATTTCTGTTTTAATAGTGATCAAGGGCATAATTTGCATATGTATGAAGAATGACATTCTTCCTTGAGAACTTCAATAACCTGCCATCTTCACTAGTAGTCGCATGGCGTAACCTCACTATTTTAACCAATTGCGCATTTTGTGATAAAAGCACCAAATTTGGCACACATGTTGACTTATATATAGTGAACAGATCTGGATATGGTGCTGTAGTGGATACTCTCCCCTATAACAGCCTAGCCGCATCCCATAGCAACGGAGTTCTGCCAAAGCCTAGTCGCCTAGAGTCGCGCCAGTTTCTCTGACGAGTCTAGACATGGAGGGGTGGGGGGTCGACACCGGCAACTTGTACTTCCGTTCCACGTCCGCTGGACGTGTATATAAGCTCCCATTCTCGCTGTGTAGAGGAATTCAACCTGGAGGCCAGCAACACGCAACACCTCCTCTAACGAAGCTCCTGCACAGCAACTCCCCTCAGCATGCTACTCACCCAACAGGACCTCTGAGCACTGTACTTACAATATATAAAGAAAACGCATTGTGAGTTTCTCTCCTACCTCATCCTGAGCGTGAGATATCTACTGGCCACATTCAGTACGCCACAGTGCCACCGCAGATTTAGCTGCTGACGGTCGTTGCAGCCATCATCCAAAATGACCACCAACAATTACTGATATTTTACATAATTGCCCTGCTGGGTGTGACTGTATGTTGGCAGTGGAGTTTAATTCACTGCAGCTCACGAAATGGCAGCATGTCTGGGACCAGAGAAGGCGCTGGCACTGCCAATGTTCCATGCCCTGACAGGGTGCGACACTGTGTCTACTTTTTCTGGCCATGGTAAAAAGAATGCCTGGGCAATATGGGCTGTCTACCCAGAGCTGACAGAGGCGCTGCTGAAGCCTTCTGCTGCATCAAAAGTCATACCAGAAGATGTCGTGCACATCATCGAGAGGTTCGTTATCCTCCTGTATGACGGAACCAGCTCATGCATGGACATCAACAAGGCGCGAAGGAAGTTATTCGCCAAAGAGAACAACGTGCAGCTGATTCCACCAACAAAGGCAGCCTTAGGGGAGCATATTAAAAGGGCAGCCTACCAGGGGGGTCATGTCTGGGGCCAAACCCTGGTACCATCACCACAGCTGCCTCCACCAACCAGCTGGGGCTAGACGAAGAATGCAGAAGGCTTGTACACACCGTTTTGGACGACACTACCTGAGGCTGCCCACACCTGTTATGAGCTAAAGTCTCGTGCAGATGCAAGAAGGGATGTGTGAAGGGCTGCAAGTGCAAAAAGGCTGCACTTGAATGCATAGTACTGTATGTGTGTGTGTGAAGGACTGTGCTCCCATCATTGACTTCCTAGATTGGCGAATACTGCTCCACAACTCGCTGTACTTGCAAATTCACCTACTGTATTTACCAATGACGGAATAAAACCATGTTTGATTTTGGTTTATCTCCTCTGTCCTTGTCTTTTAGCGCCTTAGAATGTCAACTGCAACTATTTTAGTCCCACAATATGTCTTGAAGTGACGTTTCTGACCGCCATTTTGGAAAATGCCTGCCACGGCCGTCGGGGGCAAAATATGCGGTGGCACCATATCCAGATGTGTTCATTATCTAAAAGTCAATACATTTTTCGTTCATATTTTTTTACTATTACATCCAGAACAAAATGTTAGAGGAAATGTGTATAACATCCTCAGGTAAGGGACATTGTAACCAAGAATACTCACAGGTGTGTGTAGTTCAGGACCCCAACACTGCTCGTGCTGCATTACTTCATTTAGAGTTGATACTGACTCGTTCTGAAGGAGACGCGGATTTTGGAGGTGACTGTACACTTAAACAGGTAATGTAGAATTATTCAGTTGAGTACGAATACCCTACAATACCTTACTGATTGTTTAAGGCAGAGTTTTTCACCAGCTTGTGTAGAGTTGCAAGATATGTTTCCAGTATAGGCACAAGGTCCACATGTGGTTCATGAATATCCACATCTCGCTTTTGTTTGTGATTATTTGTCAATCCCCGAACTACACTTGCTTCGTGCTTGTTATCAGGGCTTACAACTCATTAAGAAAGTGTTCCATAAGCCGCTTTTTGAAGTCACTCTTCATCTTTAAAAAGAGGTTTAAAAATGTCACCGACCAGTAGGAGTCTTCAGTCGGCATCGATTGCTTGAAGTTGTATTTACTCTGCTTGATGCTGGTGTCTCTAGTCGATAGAACTCCGATTTCCGAATTGCGCAGTGATCTCCTGCAGCGTTTTGCCCTTGGTCTCTGGCACCAGCAGGAGGGTGAAAAAGAAGGCCAGAAGACACACCCCACCGAAGAGCCAGAAGGCGCTGTAGTCTCCCAAGGCCGTCTGTAGGCAGGAGAAATTGAAGGTCACTATGTATACTGTAGTGTCCCAGATAAATGTCCCTACCTACCTCACTCCCTCCCTGCCTGCTACCTGAGACGCTGTATTGGAGGGAGGGAGGGAGGGAGCAGGCATGGATGGAGGGAGGGAGGTAGGGAGGTAGGGAGTAGGCATGGATGGAGGGAGGGAGGGAGGGAGGTAGGGAGCAGACATGGATGGAGGGAGGCAATGAAGCATCAATAAATTACCGAATGTTCAACCCTATGACTACCATAGTAATGTGGTGATGAAGGAACAGACTCTAAACACCCATAGGAATTAACATACAACTCAGGTGATGATTTCATGGTCGATTGTTATAGTGAAAAATGTGAAAATTAATATAGTCGTTGGTAATGTTAGTCCCAGAGAAAATATATTATGTTGGGGTCATTTCACTTACATTTTCCTTGTAGTTAAGATAAAGTCACAATTGAAGATACAATTGGCAGCTGTGGACGTTGCCAGGGAAACAAAAACTGCTTAAGGCAGAATCAGTTACTTGGTAAAACAGGAGCGTCACTACTGGACCCCATCAAGAAGGTGAAGATGGTGGTGATGGTTCATACTCGCAGCGGGAGGAAGGTGAGGGTGATGGTGATGGTTCATACTCGCAGCGGGAGGAAGGTGAGGGTGATGGTGATGGTTCATACCTGCAGCGGGAGGAAGGTGAGGGTGATGGTGATGGTTACCTGCAGCGGGAGGAAGGTGAGGGTGATGGTGATGGGTGAAGGGTGATGGTGATGGTTCATACTCGCAGCGGGAGGAAGGTGAGGGTGATGGTGATGGTTCATACTCGCAGCGGGAGGAAGGTGAGGGTGATGGTGATGGTTCATACTCGCAGCGGGAGGAAGGTGAGGGTGATGGTGATGGTTCATACTCGCAGCGGGAGGAAGGTGAGGGTGATGGTGATGGTTCATACTCGCAGCGGGAGGAAGGTGAGGGTGATGGTGATGGTTCATACTCGCAGCGGGAGGAAGGTGAGGGTGATGGTGATGGTTCATACTCGCAGCGGGAGGAAGGTGAGGGTGATGGTGATGGTTCATACTCGCAGCGGGAGGAAGGTGAGGGTGATGGTGATGGTTCATACTCGCAGCGGGAGGAAGGTGAGGGTGATGGTGATGGTTCATACTCGCAGCGGGAGGAAGGTGAGGGTGATGGTGATGGTTCCTACTGCAGCAGCGGGAGGGGTGAGGGTGATGGTGATGGTTCATACTCGCAGCGGGAGGAGGTGAGGGTGATGGTGATGGTTCATACTCGCAGCGGGAGGAAGGTGAGGGTGATGGTGATGGTTCATACTGCAGCGGGAGGAAGGTGAGGTGATGGTGATGGTTCATACTCGCAGCGGTGAGTGATGGTGATGGTTCATACTGAGGTGAGGGTGATGGTGATGGTTCATACTCGCAGCGGGAGGAAGGTGAGGGTGATGGTGATGGTTCCTACCTGCAGCGGGAGGAAGGTGAAGATGATGGTGATGGTTCATACTCGCAGCGGGAGGAAGGTGAGGGTGATGGTGATGGTTCATACTCGCAGCGGGAGGAAGGTGAGGGTGATGGTGATGGTTCCTACCTGCAGCGGGAGGAAGGTGAGGGTGATGGTGAAGGATGTAAGCCAGTTCACCACTGTGACTATACTCGCTGAGGCTTCCTTCACTTCAGGTGAAAACAGTTCACCTGAATTAACAAAAAAAAGAATGAAACAATACAACGGTACAGATGAAGACTTGAGTAATTAACCTAAGAATCTCAATCATAAATTTGTCACGTGAAAGGAAGAGTTGAGTCGAGCCATCAAAATCCTCTCGGTACATTGAGGTACAGTACATTATACACTCCCTGGCAAGACATTGAGGTACAGTACATTATACACTCCCTGGCAAGACATTGAGGTACAGTACATTATACACTCCCTGGCAAGACATTGAGGTACAGTACATTATACACTCCCTGGCAAGACATTAAGGTACAGTACATTATACACTCCCTGGCAAGACATTGAGGTACAGTACATTATACACTCCTTGGCAAGACATTGAGGTACAGTACATTATACACTCCCTGGCAAGACATTGAGGTACAGTACATTATACACTCCCTGGCAAGACATTGAGGTACAGTACATTATACACTCCCCCACTCACCCATCAGGACCCAGACAGTAGGACCGAAGCCGATGGAATACGCGGAAACAAAGATGATGAGGGAGGTGAGCGGGAGCCAACCCAAAGTCTCCACCGCCCACTTGCTGTCCTGCTCTTTTACGTAGAAATACGCCCCCAGACTCACTGTTAAGAACAATATGTGCTTTTAATTTAGATGAAGGTTGGTAGACAGGTACACACACTTTATCAACAGCAACGTCTACATTTAGTTTACATGTAAGATGGTTGACAAATTGGGACACTGACTGCCACCACAAGGGATACAGTAAACGAGGCAGAGAATGGAGGAGGGCTGGAATCAGTACCAAGACCAGAGACATTACAGAGGACAATTTCCGGCCTGAAAGTCATTTACACTAATACTGACACGTTCCTTGACAAGAGAGCGGAGTTTGTACCACTACTGAGGGTACATCAACCCGATATAGTAGATGTTGTAGAACTGTTGTACAAAAACAGGAGAATCGAACCGGAGGAATGTGAGTTTAATATAGATGGATATGACTTATTTACGAACCATTCCCAAGTAACTTGCAAGAGGGGTGTGGTTATCTATGGTAGGCAAGACCTTAGAGCCAGCCAGGCGAGGGTGCGGGGAGAAGGTGTTTTCGAAGAATCAAAGTGGTGTAAAATTAAACTGAAGGGGAGAGACTTGCTCATTGTTGTATGTATCTACAGATCCCCAAACTGTAGCTTACTAAACCAGTGAAACTTAAGAACCTTAATAGACAAAGTAACGGTGCAGAACCCTAACCAACTCTTTGTCATGGGACACTTCAATTATGGCGACACCGACTGGAAAAAATATTCCACGCCAAACGACTTAAATAATCCCGCCACTCTTTTCGTAGAAACTCTGAGAGATAATTTTCTATTCCAACATGTTAAAGACCCGACTTAATACAGATGGGAGCAAACACCCAAACCGATGGACCTCATTAAAACAAACGAGGAGGGTATGGTGGACAATCTGGAACACCTAGCCCCAGTTGGCACCAGTCATCACGTAACGTTGTCCTTCAGATTTAACTGTTACTTGGTTCCTAACAAAACCAGGTCAAGGTTCAAATATTACAAAGGAAATTGCGACGGGATGAGGGAGGAGATGAGTATACACTGGCCTGACTTACTAAGGAATAAGAACGCAGATGCTACGCTGAATATCATAGCCAGTAAAGTAAACCATTCAATCAATAAATGTATACCTAACACCAAACCCAGTGCCTCCAGGAATACAAGGAGACCGCTACACATGAGCCATGCGACGGTCGACAAAGTTAAGAAGAAAACTCAGGATTTGGAGTTGTGGGTTAGGACAAATGATGAGCAGAACAGGAGGATGTATGCCAGATCCAGGAACCAAGCAAAGTCAGAGTGTAGAAGGGCTGAAAAAGAGTTCCAGAGGCAGATTGCTAGTGAGGCCAAATCATACCCAAAGGCTTTTTACCGCTACGCAAAGTCGAAATTAAAAACGTGAGTAGGCATATCGGACCGGAGGCTTGAAGATGGTAGTTATGCGGATTCTAACCAGGATAACGCAGGGTGTTGAACAAATTTTTTTCATCGGTGTTCATAAGAGAGGATGCGAACAATCTTCCTGTGTTTGAGGAAAGACGGTTTGAGACAGAGCTGACCCACATTATGTTCTCAGACAAGGTAGTAAGAAAAACTGTCAAATCTAAAGATTCACTCGAGTCCCGGCCCAGGTATGGTACACCCCAGAGTATTACGGGAACTGTGCAAATGCCTGGAGGAACAAAAGGTCCCCGATGACTGGAAGATGGCTTATGTGATCCCGATATTCAAGAAGGGCGATCATCACCCCACGAATAATTATAGACCAGTGACCCTGACCAGCATTGTGTGAAAAGTACTAGAGAGCATCGTAAGAGATGCCATGATGGAACATCTGCTACGAAACAACCTTGTAAAGGACTGCCAACATGGTTTTATGCCAGCAAGTTCCTGCTTAACACAATTACTCAAGGTACTAGATGCTTGGACTTAAATTCTCGAACAAGGCGAAAATATCGACAAAATATACTTAGATTTTGCCAAGGCTTTCGACAGTATACTGCCCATTAATGAGGTCACTAATCCTAAGGGGGGAACTTAACTTATTACTTACTCTAAGGTCACTGCCACCAGACTCCATGGGCAGCAGGTAGCTGGCTGAGCAAGCCAGCCACTGTGAGTTCGTGTTTTTCATTAATCAAATCGAGAGTGGAAGGAAGGGTGAAACACCAACCAACACTTAACAAATATATTTCCTAAATAAAAACTATTGCATCCAGTCACAATCCAAAAATAGTTGACCTTCACCAACATGATTACTATTAATTAAGGTCATTACACCACACACAAAATGGCCGACCTTCTCCAAATAATTATCAAGGTCGTCTCTCTTCATAACAAATCATCGACCTCATTACCTCGGTCATTCTTTCCTACAATATCACCCAAACACATAACAAAGCACCAACATATTACCATAGCACCAAATACACTCTACCCATACAGGTATTGAGCTTCCTTGTAGCACCATGGTACACATGACAGGTACCCGTTTCACACACTACTCCTGTTGGGTAGATGAGATCCCTTCCAGGTATTCATACCAGTACAGTTTCTGCGCCTGGTATCCTTAGGTTGCTTAAAGTACTTTTACTTTTTACTTTTATCCTCTTCGCCACTGATCGGCTCGTTAGCCGCTTGGGCGATCGGTCACGTCTCTGATTACTTTTCCTTTTCATTTATCTTCTTCACCAAAAGATCGGTTCGCTAGCCGCCTGGGCGATCGGTCACGTCTCTGTTGGCATATGCTGGGCATGCACCGGCTCCTGAATGTACCTGAGCCCGCTCCAGTGTTGATCAAGTCTTGTCTTGAAAGAGCTCACACTTGGTGCCGTCACAACACTTTCTGGTAGATTGTTCCAAGAGTTTACAACCCTCACCCCAAAAAGTTTGCCCTCACAGTTTTCTGGACTTGCGGCTTCTTCAATCTTGAGCTGTGACCCCTTGTGGGGCGAGCGTCCACCAGCTCCAAGTAAGGACACTCAACTGAGTAGTGCCCCCTGAGATGCTTATACACCTCAACTAGGTCCCCCCTTGCCCGTCTGTAGTATAAGCTAGGCAAGTTCAGGCGCTCCAATCTCTCAGGGTAGCTGAGGTGCCGAAATGCAGGCACCAGTCTGGTGGCCCTCCTTTGAACATTTTCAACCAACTGACAGTCCCTAGCATATCTCGGGGACCAGATGGGGTGACAGTACACCAGATGGGGAAGCACTTCACTCCTGAAGATCGTTACGAGGGACGGACCGTATAGATATCTGAACGACCTTCTTATAAGACCCAATAATTGATTTGCCTGATTTACCTTCTTCTCGCAAAGGCCCGAGAACTTCAGCTCATTGTCAACATACACACCTAGGTCCTTCTCACATACAGTCTCAACTAGCGCAGTTTCTTCATCCCGTTGGGACATATGATACGCCTCCTTACCGTTGGTACGCCCCAGGTGCATCCTCTTACACTTCGTGACATTGAATCTCAGCAGCCATTTCTTCGACCATTCCTGGAGCCCACAGAGGTCCTTCTGCAGCTCTTCACAGTCCGCTTGGTTCTTAATTTCCCGAAATAACGTGGTGTCATCGGCAAACATTTGTATGGAGGAGTGTACAACGTCAGGCATGTCATTTATGAAACAAACAAACAAACAACAGAGGGCCCAATACACTGCCCTGTGGTACCTCACTTGTGACAGGTACAGATGACGATTTCGTGCCATTAACCACCACACACTGCTTGCGGTCATGAAGAAAGTCTTCAGTCCGCGCGAGGACATTTCCCCGAATTCCGTACCCTTCCAGTTTGATTTTCAGCCTTTCGTGGGGTACAGTGCCGAAAGCCTTGGCAAAATCTAGGTAAATATTGTCGATATTACCACCCCGTTCCAGAATATGGGTCCAAATATCCAATACCTTGAGCATTTGTGTTAAGCAGGAGCGCCCCGGCATAAAACCGTGTTGGCAATCTTTTACAAGGTTGTTTCGTATTAGATGTTCCATTGCGGCATCTCTGATAATACTCTGAAGTACTTTATATATTATGCTGGTCAGGCTCACCGGTCTATAGTTGTTCGTGGAGTGCCGATCGCCCTTCTTGAAGATAGGACTCACATAAGCCACTTTCCACTCACTGGGGACCATTTGTTCATCCAGGCATTTACAAAACAGGATCTTCAGGGACTCTGCAAGCTCGTTGCACAACTCTCTTAGCACTCTAGGATGCACCATGTCAGGGCCGGGACTCTTATGGACCTTTAGCCTGGACAGTTTATTTCTAATACCCTCTTCTGTGAACACAATGTGGGTCAGTGCTGTGTCGAACCGTCTGTCCTCAAACGCAGGAAGGTTAGTTGCATCCTCTCTTGTGAACACCGAGGAAAAGAAGCTGCTCAATGCCTCAGCTTTATCCTGGTCAGAATCTGCGTAACCACCATCCACCAGCCTCAGGTCTGATACTCCTACTCGCTTTTTCAATTTCGACTTTGCATAGCGGTAAAACGCCTTTGGGTTTGACTTGACCTCGCTTGCAACCAGCCTCTGGAACTCCTTTTCAGCCCTCCTACACTCTATCTTTGCTTGGTTTCTGGCTCTTGCATACATCCTCCTGTCTTGCTCATCGTTTGACCCAACCCACGTCTTGAATTTCTGGGTTTTCTTCTTAATTTTGTCGATCGCCGCATGGTTCATGTGTAGGGGTCCCCTCGTATTCCTAGAAGCACTGGGTTTGGTCTTGGGTATATATTTATCGATCAAATGGGTCACTTTACTAGTTATGATATTCAGCGTAGTGTCTGCGTTCTTGTACCTTAATGAGTCAGGCCAGTTGATACCCCTCATCTCTTCCCTCATCCCATTGTAATTTCCCTTGTAATACTTGCACCTTGGCCTGGCCTTATCCTGAACTAGGTAACAGTTAAATCTGACTGACAACACTATATGGTGACTGGTGCCAACTGGGACAAGGTGTTCCAGTTTGGCCACCATACCCTCCTCGTTTTTTATGGTGAGGTCAAGTGGCTTGGGTGTTTGCTTCCCTCTGTAATGTTTCGGGTCTCT